GTTGTAAAGCAGACAATTCTACATAAAAATGGTCTCTTAGCTTTTTCTTGTACTTTTACAATTAACAGAGTTAGGGAGGCTAGAAGTTAAGGGAAGATTTCAGAAATTTAAAAAAAATCATAACAAACAGAAAAATGATTGAATTTTGTAATTTTTTTTTTCAATCTGCTCTAAAATATGTAACTTTTCTTTTCAGAGAAATAGATATATTTTTTAATTTTTAATAAGAAAGTTATAACAAAAAATCAAATTTTTAATCGTTAATTTTAATGATTTAACAAAATTAAATTTCTAGAGGTGTCTAGCAACCTATTTTTCAGAGTATAAAGTAAAAAAAAATGTCGTTTTTTTTTGACCCACCCTAATTTATGTAATATAAAAAAGTTAATTTTTCAAAATTTTGACAAGTTGATCGACAGACGAAGAAGAAATTTCACCCATAAATGAAAAGCATGCTTGTACAAAATTAAAATATAGCATACCACCTATATGAATTTATATGTGGAATTAAACTTAAGCCATTATAAAAAGATTCATATAACATTTTCAAAATGACAGATCCATGTATCGTCAAAAATGTGTCGAAGGAGGGAGCCTTGCACTTTTAAATTCAATGTCCCTTANGTTTTTTTTTAGTCGTAAGCATGTTTGGTTACATCGAAAAAAATTAGTGCATTATTTCTGACTGAGAGTCAATGATTCATTAAATCTTGAAAAAAATAACGTTTTTGTTATAAATTTATTATGAAGAGTATTAATCTTAAAGAAAAAAAAAATTTCAATTTGTTATTAAAAAGTTTTTTTATTTAATTATCAAGCGAGTTATAAAATTTCAAACATTTTGGTTTTGTGGTGATTTTTTTTTCAACTTTTTTGTAATTTTAACCATGGAGTATGATAGCGAAGAATTTTTTTGACTGCATTAGGAGCTTCACTAGAAACAAATTTGTATAAATTTCCCTGAAACTTAAACTAAATTGAAATTTTCCGAATTATTAATCAAAAACTGTTAAAATTGGCGTGCATTGAAGTTTGACGATGAATATCTTTTAAACGCTTTATTTAATCGACTAATCATAAGAGACCATTTTTGTAGAGCAGTTAATTTCCTACAACACCATGAATTGCGCATTTCATAATGATTTTTTGTTAACGAGTTATAAAATTCATAAGCAAAACAGAAATTTGTCTTAAAATAATCAAACTTCAACCTTTAATATCTTTTAAACGGTGAGGTTTATGAAAAAATTGTAAGAGACCTTTTTTGTAGAGCGTTCAATTTCCTACAAGTATATGAGGAGAGATATTTTTAACGAACAGTTGATAGAGAGATATGAATNTATCGAAATCCGTGGAAAAAAATATGGGCTGCCATTTAAAAAAATTGCCGATGACGTCATACATCAAAAACAAACGAAACAAAATAAAAGTCGATGGCTGAAAAAAGTGACATTTTATAAACTAAAGTTGACGTGTCCGAGGATTTCCTGTCAAAACCCTTCAATAACGATTTTTCGAATTTATTCCAAACTTTACGAGCTCTGTGTATAATACAAAACCTTCATTGAGTAACTATATTTATCGGACCAACGTAAAGAAACCTGCCCTATTGTTAAGTCACTCGTCCTCCAGATTCTATTCTTGATCTTACGCAACTGGCAGACAAGATGAGTTTGGTCAATTTATATCTGTTTAAACTTTTTCGAACTTCAACCAAATACCACCAATCGTCGAGGTAACCTTTTCATGCGGATTCATTTTTAAAGGCAGTTTGGTTTTCTCGCTTAGGGTAACTTTAAAGTCCTTCAAAGTGGATGTCAGTCCGACTTTTGTTTGTAGAATTCCAAATCTTTCACCTACAAATCAATGACCAATTAAGTACCATGTACAAATAGAGAGTACAGGAAAATATTGACTTAGAATTCAAGGAAAACAAAATTCTTCTGCCGACTTTGATGTCCTGTGGTTTAACTAAATCAGTTATTTTGACAGGAATCTGGCAGTTTGTATACCCAATGCAGTCCCTCATAGTCATAGCACTTACCAATACATACTCTGGGACCTTCCCCAAACGGCAGATGGGCGTAGGAATGCCTGGCCTTCTTATTCTCCGCACTGAACCTGTCGGGGTCAAAAACTTTGGGATTCTCGTAGTGGTCTTCGTCGTAGTGTATACCTGTTGCAGGTATGAAGACGATGGTGCCTTTTTCTAAGATAAAATCTTGACCAGGTATTTTGTAGTCTTCGGCACTTTCTCTTGTCAAAAGTGGGATGGGAGCGTACATCCTGAGGGTCTCTGGAAAAGGCAAGGTCACGTTTACTGATTTTCTTAAAATTTTGGATAACTAGGAGATACTGCTATTTTGACATGCAGCTGTTGCTGTCTAATCTCTCACGTACACTCCAAGTAAGTTTACGTCTGAGACAGCAGCGGCCCCTTTTGGATGATTCGCCTTTTACTTACCGTCGATGACTTGTCTCATGTAAACTAACTCATTGATCGAATCGTAAGTGATTTTGTTGTCGTGTTTCGCGAGGACTGTGCGGATTTCTTCCCTTACTTTGTCCTGGATGTCGGGGTTCCTCGCCAATTCAAACAGGGCGAAGGTCATGGTGGTGGAGCTGGTCTCGAATCCAGCTACGAAAAAGACGAAGCTTTGCGCTATTATCTCTGGCATGGTCAGGGTGTTACTGTCTTCTGCAAGTTCAAACACGTGATTATTATTGTTTCAATTACGTACCTATACATTTTTACATTTACTGCCACATTAGTTTAAGTCATGGCAAGGAAGCTGGTTCGAAGGGTCTCTAGTGGAGGTCTAAAGTCACAAATTGTGCGGAGAAAAATTAGAATATGGAAAATTAGGAAGAATTGAACTTTCCTTGCAGTCCAGGATACAAAGATAGGCCAGGAAAAAGAGCTGAGAAATGTCCATTTCGCGACTATAGATACTAAATATTATGTACAATAATAAATTAGTTTGCACAGTCATAAAAATGGGGGGAAGATTGTTTACAGGGTGGTTAATTGTATAATTTTTACGTAAATTCACGTTTTTCTAATATTAATTAGATCAAATTTCGGAATTAAGTGGATTGGAAATAATAGGCTTCAAAGTCTCCAGACTTAACGCCCGTAGACTATTTTTTTATGGGGAACATTAAAAAATCATGTATATAAGACACCCACAAGAAGTTTGAAGCATTTAAAGCAAAATATTCGACTTGTTTGTGAGATTCTTTCAAGAGAAACGTTGTTTAATGCTACAAGGGATGTTGGGAAAAAATTGGATAAATGCTTAGAAGTAGGAGGCATGCATATCGGACATTTTTTAAAGTGATAATCATAATTTCATATTTTGTTTTGTGTTTTGTATTTTGTTATTAGTTATTGTTATATTTATTAGTTACAATTGTTTAATATTTTCTATATTTGGTTATTTTATTTAACCGTCATTATCTGTATTGTTCTATTTTTCTTCGTGGAGTGACCTTTTTTAAGAAGAACATAGCAATTAATATGTAAACAAATTTGTGACAGGAGTTACAGCGATTATTTTTCACAGTAATGTTGATGAAGTCATGACTAGTTCCAATACAATAGAATTCATATTTGTGTAATGTTTGTTATTTTAACTTTTTAAGTAGAAGAGATAGGGAAAAAATTTCTGCATAAAAAATGTTGACAAAAAATAGATAATTTTAGTTATCATAGAAAATGGGTATGTAGATGTATGTCATCATAACATATT